TTTTTTTTTTTTTTTTTTTTTTTTTTTTTGGTTTTTTGAGACAGGGTTTCTCTGTGTAACTTTGGAGCCTGTTCTGGAACTTGCTCTGTAGACCAGGCTGGCCTTGAACTCACATAGACCCACCTGTCTCTGCCTCCAGTGCTGGAATTAAAAGCATGCACCACCACCCCTTGGCTTTTTTTTTGTTTATCTATTTTTAGCTCTTCAAAACCAATATAATGATATACAGTAATTAAAAAATATTTAATACAGCATCTTCATTTACATTAATTTCCTATAGCAACTAAAATCATTTTTCTTTCAGTGTTCCTAGGGGTTAAAAAAAAAACCTAAAATACACTAACTCAGGTAGAGGATAAGAACAATGTGACCTAGACTTTTTCTTAGGACTTCCCTTTCAAACATACAGTGAAGGAGCACAGACCACCTGTGAGCCACACTTTCAGCAGCTAACAATACAGAAGCCTTTCTTAGCTTGAGATCCACACAAACATTCAAGCCAGATTTTACTCAGACTGCGGTTTATTGACCCTGTACTAGAGAAGGAGCTTCATTCATCTGAGAGGCCTTTCGGGAAACTTCAGAAAATGGGGGTCATAATTCTAAAATAGTTAACTTCAGAGCTAAGAACAAATCCCAATAGGAATCTGGTAGAGGAATGGAAACACTGTATTGCCTGAGCTTCAGAAAGTCAGCAACTGTGAAAGCAGTAAGAGAATCAGCTATTACATGGGTAACAGGAAGGACTCACAGGACACTGAGACTAAAACTGGACAGACTGACACACGTTTGTAATCCCAGCATGTAAGTAGTGAAAGCAGGGAGATGGGTCAGTCTCAGCGACAGAGAGAGTTCCAGACTAACCTCACTACTACATGGGACACTGCTCTTGGGGGAAACTCAAAACAAAACAAACTAGATAAAAGGTCAACAAGGAGAAAAATAAGATAGAGGCCTTAATAATGGGGCAACCATTGGAGAAGTAACAAATAAGACATATATATGAAATTTTGTAAGATTTGATAAAGATATCAAAATATGTGAATTTGAAAAATATAAATGTGTATTTTATATAAAAGCAAATATAAGTAGAATAGGTAGTATCACAAAAACAAAGCACAAAATCTAGGAACAAAATTAAGCAAATTTGCCAGGCATGTGGTTGTATACCTTTAATCTCAGCTATCAGGAGGCAGGTGGGTCTCTGATTTTAGGTCAGAGTGGTTTCCATAGTAAGTTCCAGGTCAACCAAGAATATACAGTGAGACCATGTCTCAAAAAATAAAGTCAAGAATAACATTTTTTAAAGTCAATAAAATAAATGGCAGCATAAATCAAATTTAAAAGACAGAAAAGTCTGCCAGCCTGGTCTACAGAGCAAGTTCCAGGGCAGTCAGGGCTACACAGAGAAAACAAAAAACAAACAAACAAAAAACCCAGATGAAAAATCTTTAGCCATCCATTATGATCCAGAATTCTTACAGTGAGAAATGAAAACTTAGATCTATACAAAGACTTGTACTTGAACATAAAAAAGTAAGTGATATATAATAATAGCAAAGCAGCTCTTTTCCAAAGCCAAAAGCAGGAGCTAGTGAAATGGCTCAACAGTTAAGAGCACTTGGCTGGTCCTGCAGGAGTGGTGTTCAATTCCCAGCATCCACATGGCAGCTCACACCCATCAATGACTTCAGTTCTAACATCCTCTACTGGCCCCAGAAACACCAGACATGCATATAATCCATGTACATACATATACATGCAGTGAAAACACTCATACACATGAAATAAAAAATACATTTTTTAAAAAATATCTGGAAACATTCCAAATGCCCACCAACTAAGTGATTGAATAAATGAACCAGCACATGAATACAACAGCACACTACTAACTGCTGGCCCAGGACTTCAAAGGCAGATGTACATAAAAAAGCCAGAATTGAAGATTAATATGTAAGATAATAAAATAATAAAATTAATATGAAAGATAATAAAAGACTTTTGAAAAGGCTTAAATATAGGGAAAGAAAACAGATCCATAGATGCCAGAAGCTAGGGCACCACACAACTTTTTCTATGGATGTTTCTAGTTTAATACTAGTAACTATTACTAATATAATCACACACATGTATACATTCACTAAATTTAACAAAACAGGACACTTAAAAGAGTAGACGTTAGTGTATATAATTTACACATCAATAAGCCTAACTAAATACTTGAAAAAAGTTAAGGCATAGTGATACATGCTTTTAATCCCAGCACTTGGGAAACAGAGGGAGGCAGACCTCTCTGAGTTCAAGACCAGTTTGGTCTACATAGTGAGTTCCACACCATCCAAGGCTAGTGAGACTCAGTCTCAAAAATAAAATAATTAAAAACTTAAAATACAAACATATTCAGAGAAAAGGCAAGAGAAAAATGAAAAAGGATAGAAACAAATAATACATAAAAGAAACAAGGGATAGGGTAGTAGCTCAAATGCCCAAGTACTGATATAATATCTAAGAAGCACGGGGTTCAAACCCCATAACCAACAAAACAAAACAAAGCAATGACAACAATAAAAACCCTGTACAATTAAACTATAAAAAAGTTAATAAAAAGGCAAATTAGAACAATGAAACTATTTAATGATTGATAATTTGGAGACAGTTATAAGAATATCTCTGCATCTCTTCTGTTGTTGAGACCTTGAGTTTTTAATCATGCCTCAACCTCCTTGGTACTGGAATTACGAGTAGGCGTCACGGTGCTCAGCTCTCATACCCTTCTTGTTTTTATTTCTTTTCAGAGTTATTATTTCATGTGTGGGAGTATTTTTTGCCTACGTGCAATTTTGTGTGCCTGTGAAGGTCAGAAGATGGCAGCAGATCCCCTGGGACTGGAGTTACAGATGGTTGTGGGCTACCGGTGCTGAAAAATAAACTTGGGTCCTCTGTAAGAGCAGCCAGTGAGTGCTCTTAAACACTAAACAAGCTCTAGCCTTGACCCGTGTCCTTTTAATGAGTGTTTAAAATTGGCACAGCAACACAAGAAAAAGACCTGACCTGAATCTACCAAAATTGTGTTAAAACAATCTGAGTTTATTAATAGATACACAGATAATCAAAATGTGCTATATAGTAGACTATTATTCAAACTTAAAAATGTAGGAAATTTTGGTATATACTACATTTAAACCTTGAGAGCTTTATGTTAAATCAAGCCAGTCACAAAAGACATACGTTGCATGATTTCATTAATATGAGGCACTTACAAAAGTCACATTCACAGAGACAGAATGTAGGCTAATGGTTACCAGGGGGAAAGCAAGGAATGGAAAGCCATTGTTTAATGTGTTTGTGTTTTACAAAGTGAAATTAATTATGGAGATGAATGCAATAGGAATACAGTATGAGTTTAAAATACTTAATGATACCAAGCTGCACACACACACTTAAAAATGGTTCAGATAGTAAATTTTATAAGCATTTTATAATAACAAAATTGAGGAACAAATTTTTCAAAATTAAAAGCACAGATCCTTCTATCTCAAACAATCTACCTTACTGTACCAAGTCTCAAGTGTGTTTTAATATATCTAATATTAATTTAATATATATACTTTTTCATATAAAAATAAAAGCTTTGGCTGATGGCACAGCTCACAAAGCAAAGATGAGGCAAGCCAGCCTGATGGCCTGAGCTTGATCTCTAGAACCCAAACAGTGGGAGAGCAGAACTGATTCCTACACGTCAACCCCCGATCTCCACATGTATGCACATGAATACACACACACAAGTAAACAAGTAAGAAAAATGTAAAAGTGGCATGAAACAGAGTGAGGTGGCTCACACCTGTAACTCTAGCACCTGGGAAGCAGAAGCAGGAGAACTGACATGAGTTCAAGATTGGGCTGAGCACACAGACAACTCCAGATTGTGCTGGGCTACAGTGTAAAAACTCTGTCTTAAAAAAGGGGGAGGGCCAGGCGGTGGTGCACACCTTTAATCCCAGCACTTGGGAGGCAGAGGCAGGTGGATCTCTGAGTCTGAGGCCAGCCTGGTGTACAGAGCTCCAGGACAGCTAGGGTTGCTATACAGAGAAACCCTGTCTCAAAAAGCAAGCAAACACAATAAACAAACAAACAAACCAGGGGAGGGAGGCTGAACTACATGCCAAGGCCCTGGGTTCTACTCTCAGCATCATATGATGTTTGTCTAAAGCAGTGGTTCTCAATCTCCCTAATGCTGAGCCCTTTAATATGCTTCCTAATGTTATGGTGACTTCCAATCATGAAATTATTTTTGTTGCTACTTAATAATTGTAATTTTGCTACTGTGATGAATCAAAATGGAAATATCTGTGTTTTCTGACGGCCTTCGGTAACCCTCAAAAGGGGTTGCAACCCACAGGTTGAGAACTGCTGGTCTAAAGCAACATAGTATTGAACATGAAAAGTATATAAAGAACAGAGGACCAAGAAAAACCTTCAGTGCCAAAAGAGTCCAAGACAGTATTTGAGAACAACAAAGAAACAAAATTTGAGCCACATTTAACAGCATATTTTCTGCTACTCACTTTACTATTGTCCCTTCAGAGGTGACCAATTATTTGATTTGATATGTAAGTTAATTCTAAGAGTCAAAGATCAGCATAACACAACTTGATCAAATAGAATGAAAGTTGTGGCCACATTCACCTTTTTTTTGATTGTTTTTGTTTGTTTGTTTCTTAAAACAGCGTTTTTCTGTAGCTCTGGAGTCTGTCCAGGAAGTCACTCTGTAGACCAGACTGGCCTTGAACTTACAGAGATCTGCCTGCCTCGTGCTCCCAAGTGCTGGGATTAATGACAGGTGCCACCACTGTCCAGCTCCACATTCACTTGAGTCTTCTGGCATCTAGAAGCTGATACCAAGAATCAGGCCCGCTTGAGTTGATAGTCTTTTACTGAACACATCCCAAAGCCAATTAGAACATACCCAGAGATGAAAACAAAACCACCCGCAATCTCCTTTTCTCCGTCACTTTCCTATTCATATCTCTTGTCTGATCTGAGTGTCCTGTATTCCCCCACTTGGCTATATACCTTCTGTGGATGCAGGTCAGACCTTGTATAGTTCTTACCTTCTATGTCTCTCATAGTGTTAGGACATAGAAACTTTTAATAACATTTCTTAAAAATGAATTCGGCTGTTAAGATCAAAAGAACTAAACAAGCAAAGCTGGGAGCTAAGATTTAATTACAAAAATAGCTATTAGTGTCAGGTATGGTAGCATACACCTCTAATCCTGGCCCTTAAGAGGCAGAGACTAGTAGATCTCTGAGTTCAAGACCAGCCTGGGCTACACACCTGTCTATAAAACAAAAACAAAGACAAAACATCTATTAGGGTGCATTTTAGAATCAGCAGACTTTATATATTCTAGAATTCTGTTCTGCATGATGCATATATATTTGCATTTTGTCTTCAAATCTGAGAGGATGAAACAGGACGATTACTGCCAGCTCAAGGCCAACCTGTAGGAAATAGTAAGTTGAAGGACTGTCTGTGCTAAAAGTGAGTTCTAGGCTAGCCAGGGCTACAGAATAACAGCCTGTCTCGGAAATACGCAAAACATACACACAAATACTATAGCATTAGAAAATTACTAGAGCTGGGAATATAGCTCAGTGGTAGAGCACTTGCCTAGCACATATGAAATCTAAATTCAATTCTCGCTACTTTCACCTCAAAAAACCTATTTATTAGGTTGGACTATAGCTTCACGAGAGAGCTCTTGCCTGACGTGTGTACAAAGCACGCTGGATTCAATCTCTGGCACTGCCAAGATCGACAAATAAGGACTGGGAATCTAGCTCTGTGATAAAGTGCTTGCCTATCTTGTGTAAGGCTCTAAGTTAAACACAAAGACTCAAACTCAAACAAAATCACATATTTACCTAGGCAATATACTGAAAATTATGTGGGAAAACTTTGAATAGTACAGAAGAATATAAATAAAAATTACAGTTGCCTTTTTGCCCCACCATCTGGAGATGGAGTCTGCTTTTGCCCTTACATACACCTTCACAGTTCTTCCCAATGTTTGTTTTTGGGGTTCTTGTTCTGTTCTGTTCTGTTTGCAAGACAGGGTTTCTCTGTGTGGTCCTGGCTGTCCTGGAACTCGCTCTGTAGACCAGGTTGGCCTCGAACTCACAGAGATCTACCTACCTCTGCCTCCCGAATGCTGGGATTAAAGGCATGCACCACTTTCACAGGCTATATTTCTTTCTTTTATTAGGGATTTCTTGCCAAAAGAATCTACACAAGGTACAGATAATATACAAAGTTTAACAATGAAATTAACACTGCTAACTTTGAGTCCAGACTGAGGGAATTTCAATACCATCAAAGTTCTCTGTGTGATCAACTATAAAAAATGGTCCATTTTCCATGAACTCCTTTGAAGAGTAATTTCTTTTTTATGCTTTTTTTTTTTTTTTTGAGACAGGATTTCTTTGTATAGCTTTTGAGCCTGTCCTAGAACTTGCTCTGTAGACCAGGCAGGCCTCAAACTCACAGAGATCCACCTGCCTCTGACTCCCAAGTGCTGGGATTAAAGGTATGTGCCACCCCCACCCCCCGGCTGAAGAGTAATTTCTTTAAGCTTGTGGACATAATATTTTTGAATTTGTTTTTCAAAAGCCTGTCTTTCTATGTAGTCCAGGCTGGCCTAGAAGTTTTAATAAAGATAAGGATAATGTATCTTCAAAATGTTATTTACATTTTACACAGTACTTGAGGCATGATATATATATAAATGTATATTATGTGTATATTTTATATGTAAATTAAAGAGAAATATCAATTATCATGTCTGTTTGATCCCAGAATATAGAACCACACTACTATTTGAGAAATACATTTTTGCTCCAATAACAAGATTGTCTAATAATTCAACAGAAAAGGCAAAACCTCAGACTCTAATAATTAATTAGGGGAGCACAACAAGAACCAAACTGCGAGGCTGCTGTGCTGCCTGCTATACTCCGGAGGTCCTGAGAATCACTAACTTTAAAACAATTCACAGGGCCAATCATCTGAGGATGTGGGAACCTGGAACTCACACATAAGGCTTAAGACTCTGTAACTGATACAATCTCTTCATACATTATCCAGGTATGGCTAAAGATCCATATGCCCTATAACAACAATTCTTTTCTACATATACAACCTAGAGAAATCCTCTATATGTACCAAACATGTTCACAGCAGAATTAACAGTACCAAGGTGGAACAATCCACATATCCACATGCAGCATAGTGTGTAAAGACACTATAGTTTATCAAGACCAACAAACTACAGCTACATATATAAGGTAACAAGAACTATGTACCATATGAATCCATCTATATAAAGTTCAAAATAGATAAAACTTTCCACTATGATTTATGATTTATGATTGGAATGAGAAAAAGTCAAAGACACCACTACCATCGAGCAGAGTGAAAAGTATTCTCAGGAAGGCTAAAGTGACTGAGGTCCAGAAGGGACAAAGGCAGAGCTCCCTAAACCTGCCTTGTCCCAGTCCTTGACTTGGCAGTAGTTACATAGGTTTGGGGCTTTATTTGTTTATTTATTTGCTTACTTATTTTTAAGGTTTATTTTTATTTAATTTAACTTATTCATTTATTTTTGGGTTTTGGGGACAGGGTTTCTCTGTGTAAACCAGGCTGTCCTGGAACTCACAGATATCTGCCTGCCTCTGCCTCCTGTGTTGGAATCAAAGGCGTGTGCTACCACTGCCTGGCAGTTTTTATTTACTCTTTAAGTGATTTAGATGCTTTATCCTGTCTCGTTAATGTCACAACAAATGTTGTAAGGAGAGATTTCTTGAGATAGCATGGGATTTAACTATACATCAGTGCCATTTATCAGGAAATGAGACATTGCTTAAAAATTTGGACTAGAGCCCAGCGGTGGTGGTGGTGCACGCCTTTAATCCCAGCACTCGGGAGGCAGAGGCAGGCGGATCTCTGTGAGTTCGAGGCCAGCCTGTTCCAGGCTAGTTCCAGGACAGGCTCCAAGACCACAGAGAAACCCTGTATCGAAAAAAAAAAACCCAAAAAACAAAAAATTTGGACTAGTCATCAGATTCCTTCCTATATAATTTTATGATTTTTTTCATACCTTGTAACGATGGTTTTTATGAACACTACTCTGGAAGCAGTCCATACAGAGAACACATGTTGGATCAATTGCACAGTCCCTGAAAAAGATAAAGAATTAGATTCTGAAAACCAATGTGCACTGATACTTAAGGTATTAGTAAATGAGTGAGCTTCGTATGTGTTGACAAAATGAACACAAAAATGCCCCAAAACCTCAGTTCTAAGAACACTTTGACCCAGCACTCAGGAGACAGAGGCAGACAGATCTCTGTGAGTTCAAGGCTGGCCTGGTCTACCAAGTAAGTTCCAGGGCAGACAGGGCTACAAAGAGAAACCCTGTCTTGAAAAATAAAACAAAAGAACACTTTGAAACACAGACAACACTGTTGTCATAGTTTCAGTCTCATTTCTAAAACATTCAAGAGCACAGTATGTTTAGTTTATAATTTTTAGTGTTACCTCGCTTCGAACTGTTAATTATTTGAAAAATTATATGAAAATTGCATAGAAAACTGTTTTTCTTCATTATCTGCCATGAAGAAAATTAACACATTTTATAAACACTGTGCACTATATCTGAGGTTTCAATACAGACGAAATTTATTAGAATATAAGCATTACAGCGAGAGGATCTTTCTTTTCTATAGTGATGGATCCCAAACACCTAGAACAGCACCTGGCACATAAGAAGCAACCTCTGCATCAACAAAAATCTCTCCTCACTTTTTTCTTACAAATGTTTACAGTACACGATTCTATTTCATATTTTCAGAGAAACATAAGTTACTACAAGGTACAGAATTCAAGTTTTTAAAAATAAATTTTAGAGTTGGGTGTTGTGGCACACATCTGCACTCTCTGCACTCTGGAGGCCAAGGCAGGAGAACTGAAAGACAGCCTGAGCTACAAAGTGAGGTTAAGGTTAGTTTGGGCTACATACATACCTGTCCCAAAAATACATACACAAAAGGAATTTTAGGACCAAAGGAAGGAGCAAAGCAGAGGGAAAAGGGTGAATTTTAAACAGATGATAGGACATAAAGGTTGCCAAAATTCTTAAAATTCTCTGTAAAAATATATATTCTAATCTGTTTAGAGTAGTTTCCAATTTAAATTTTGAGAATTCCATATGAACAATGTGTTTCACATAATCTCTATGCCTCCCTCTTTGTTCTGTGTTCTCTTCTACTTCCTCTCAAACTCACGACCTCTTCATTACACACACACATACACATCCATTTAGTGTTGCTCATGTGTAGATGTGTTTGGGGCTGCCCACTGTGACTGGAGCACCTACAAGGGAGCTTGTCCCTGGAGAAAACAGACTTTCGCTCTCTCAGCAGTCACTGGCTGCCAGCAGCACTTGGTCTAAGGTAAGACCTTGTGAAATCTTCCTGTCCATGCTGGCATGTCAACTGGTGCTATCATGAAGCAGATCTTATTTAGGACACTGGAATGCTGAGCTTTCATGGGTGCAGCTTCCCTGTCATGTTTAGAAAGACACTATCTAGTATCAGGTGCCCTGGTCTTCTGACTCTTAAAATCCCCTCACCTCCACCCCCGCCTTTTCTAGACTGTTCTATAGGCATAAGGGTTGTATTGCAGATGTATTGGGCTGTGTACCCCACAGTTACTTATTTATTTTGACAACTTGTAAATCTCTATAATAATCTCCCTTGGCACTACTAACACTTTTGAATTAATTAGTAATGTCTTTTCTTGGGGTAGAGGGAACTATCCTAGACATTGTGGCCTGTTTAACTGCAACCATGGTTTCTACACACTAACCTGTCACAATGTTTCCAAGAAATTTTGGCAAGATAATGGCTACAAATGTTTATATGATGTAGTTGAAACTGTGCTTTGGTTTAAAATTTCTAAGAGAAAAACTAAATTGTTATACAATATAGAAAATATAATACAAATGCAAGAGCTTAACTATTTTTTTTTTCTAAGAAAGTAACAAAATAAAGAAAAAACTGTTTTTGTAAACTTAACTAAGGGCTGAAGTGATGGCTCAGTGATTAAAAGCACTGGTTGCTCTTCTAAGAGGACCTGGATTCGATTCTCAGCACCTATAAGGCAGTTCACAACTGCCTGTAACTCCAGTTCCAGAGGGCCCCTTGTCTGAATTCTGTGGTACCAGGCACAGACACGCATTGATAAAATAAAAACATTGTAGGACACACAAAACTATTAACTATACATACTCAGTGAAGTCTAAAATGACAATCAAGCATAAACCACGAAACTCTGCTGATAAAGTCTAAAAAGGCATAGTTATAACCTAAATGACCGCAAGTAAACAAAGAAGAAAAACAAAAAGTGGTGCTAACATCTAAAGTCAAAAATTTCCACTGGGCATGGAGGTGCACACCTTTTAAGTCCCAAGTAGATCTCTGACTTTGAGGCCATCCTGATCTATATCAGGAGTTCTTGGCCAGATAAGGCTACATAATATGTTTCTGTCTCAATAAATAAATAAAAATTAAAAGTATAAAAAAATCAAAAATTTCAAGCAGGAATGTAGAGTAAGAAATTTCTCTAATATACAATGATATTTAAGACAATTCCTTTACCCAAAACAAAAGGCCTACACCTGCCAGATAACTGACCTCTTACACTAACCTATATTCCAGCTGTTCCCACACAATCCTTGACCTACAAGTTCTAAAAAACAAAACTTCTGGAAGGTTTTGTTACTTTGTGGGTTTGAACCAAATTTCAGTTAGCGGTGAAAAGCAAAACAAAGCAAGCAAACAAATGTACACAAGCATAAGTTTTAACACATGTACAAAACCTGGATATTGGGCCTGTAATTTCATAGTGAGGTCTAGGCCAGCAAAGGCAACAGAATAAAACTCTATCTAAAAGATAATTAAGTGTATACATACACACACATATATGTATGTATGTATGTATGTATGTGTATGTGTATGTGTTTGGCATGACATGTGACCACAGGCTCTATGTTACTCATGAGTATATCTTTATGAATACTCATAATCTCTTACAAAAATCTTACTGTTTGATTACAAGGTCTTAAGATGTTGTTGAAGAAGTAGTCAGAATTCTGAAATATACCTTATATCAAAAGTTTCAGATAAAGTATGCTGACTACATTACATGTACACAATGCAAAAAGAAATCACAGATTGTGCCAGGCGGTGGTGGCACACACTTTTAATCCCAGCACTTGGGAGGCAGAGACAGGCAAATATCTGTGAATTCGAGGCCAACCTGGCCTACAAGAACTAGTTCCAGGACAGGCTCCAAAGCTACAGAGAAACCCTGTGTCAAAAAACTAAAAAAAGAAAAAAAAAAGATAAAGATAAAAGAAAGAAATCATGTATTAAAAAGCAAGCTCTATGAGCAAAAGTGGATTTAAAGCTTAAGGTAAAAGGAACTTAAGAGTAAATATACTATAGACAAATCAGGGAAAAGACATTGTGAGGCATGATGCGAACTATAACCCATAAATTATAACCAATCCTATACCGTCTGAGGCTTACCTACAAGAATATGTTGTTTCTCCACTTTTGAAAACCTTCCCACACAACTGAAATGCTCCACTGTGTTTTAATTTCTCTAAGCAAATATCCGGATCCTCTCCAAATAAGTACCATTCCAATGGAGTGAATATTGATGTCTGTACATTCTCTTCCTGCTTTTCCAAATCTGGGTCCATCTCAGCAAAATAAATTGCTGGCACTAATTGTGCCAAATGGTGTAAGAAAGAAGTATAAAAATCAACTTGTTGATCCCACCACTGAAAAGAAGAAAAGATGACAATTAGACTTTCTTTTACTTTTACAAGTCCTTTTCTATATTATTCTTTGAGACATACACAACGATACTGTCATATTCACGACCACCCTCCCCATCTGCACCCCTGCTTCCCCATCCCCTCCTAACTCTGTGCCCTTTTCCTTTATGTACGAATCTCTAACCCATTAAATCCAATTTGTGCTGTCCATACACTGCAGCATGGCAGTTCCACGACAGGCTCCATACGAGAAACCCTGTCTCAAAAAACAAACAAACAAACAAAAAACCAAAACAAACAAATAAAACATACCATTGTATGTATATGTGTGTATATGTGTATGTATATAATATATATACATAAAATACTGCCTAGTAGAAAAGGCAAATTTTGATTAATACAATCTTATGTTTACAAAAACAAATTCTAATTACATAAACTTTAAATTTTTCTACAGATGTTGCTGGGAGTCTAACTATGTGGTTATAATTTGTGTAACATATACAAGGCACTGGGTTTGATCTGCACCACAAAAAAATAGGTGTCCCAACTCCTGGAGCTCAACGCTTATTCTGCTAAAGCAAATGTAAGTAGACAGGTCTTTTAACTTTACTCTTCTTGATTTGTGTGATTTCACATTAAACTACAACAAAACCATAAAGGGAGAGTTCCAGGACAGCCAGGACTACTCAAGAAGCCCTGTCTTTAATCTTCCTTTTAATTTCTCTTGGGTCGAATGGAGCCTCTGAGCTAACAACTGTCTAAGTCTTGAGTACTACTGTCAGGAGCCATTTCCCCCAAAAAGTATTGCAGGGACCATTGTCCTCCATTTCCCCCAAAAAGTACTGCAGGGACCATTGTCCTGGGGATGTTTGCAGAGGGCCCCACACCCCAACTGTATTAAGAACTATTTGTTGGCAGAGCCCACCCCACATCCAACTATCTTGAGAGCTGTTAGCGGAACCTGCCCCACATTCCAACTATCTAGAGAACTGTTTGTGGTTGGAATCACAAAAGGAACGATTCTGCTTACATAGAAAACACTAGGTGTGTCGACTCATGACCAAGTGTCAACTTGTGACCATTGCTGCCCCGGCAAGATCCCATGCCCCTGCCCCCTGCCCCCATCCCAAGCCAAATTCCTCATCCAAGGGCTATATAAGCTGCTGCCATTATGCTAATAAACGGAGGCTTTGACAACAGATCTTGCTTGGCCTCCTTCCTCTCTCCCGCCCATGTCTTTTCAGATAGCGCCTCTTCGGGACCCTGGAATACTGACCTGCCAGGCGGGTTACAACCCTAGACTAATTGACCCGCTGGGCGGTTACATACTACTAAATATTCTTATGCCTTAACACACACACATACACAATTCATGTTTATAAACAATGTATTTACACCTGAATGTGGATGCCAGCAGTGCCCTTTCACAGATCTAATTACTAGCTCTCATTCCTCTACTCTCCCCCTTATCTCTTCTTCAAGGCTCTGGTCGAGGCCTATCTTAATCATTTTTCACTTGATAAAGCCAGAAAATTTCTCTCTAGTTCTCTAGTTAATTTTTTTTTTTTTTTTTTTTTTTTTGATTTTCGAGACAGGGTTTCTCTGTAGCTTTTTGGTTCCTGTCCTGGAACTAGCTCTTGTAGACCAGGCTGGCCTCCTCTGCCTCCCTAGTGCTGGGATTAAAGATGTGCGCCACCACGCCCGGCTCTCCAGTTAATTTCAATACAGCACTTAAACAGAAGACTCTGTACCCATATCTGATGTTCTAAATTACAAATATTCATTCATTTACATAGCATCCTGGGAGCTGAACCCAGGGCCCGCTGCGTGCTAACAAATATGTTTTTGTTGTTGTTGTCTCTGTTGGGGACAAGGTCTCACTATGTAGCCCTGTCTATCCTGAACTCATTTTTGTAGCTGGCCTCAAATTCTCAGAGATCTGACTGCTTCTATCGCTGGAATGCTGGGATTAAAGGCGTGTATCACCACACCTAGCCATTAAGTTGGTAAACTTCAACGTTTGCGTCTAGCCCTTTCAAGTAGACTGGAAGGCTCCTGAGGAAAGGAACTGCCTTTCAAAACCCTTCTACCCACAGGCACAGCACAAATACACAACCTAAGTTCTCGTTATCACTATATTAAGTACTTATTGCTAGAAATAACAAGGCAAATTATGACATTAAGCCTTCGTAACTCTGTTCATAGAACCATTACAGTAGATACAGTACAACAAAGTGGAAACTTTTTGCAGTTTCCACTACTGTCACAACTACAGAATTTGCTTTTAATTTTTTTTATTCTTTTGAGATTCATACTCAGCTCCCCTCCCCCAACTCTTTCCAGATCCATCTCTCCCTGCTTTCCTACCAAGCTAACTTTGTGTCCTTTTTTTTTTCCTTTAAACCCATCAAGATCAATTTGTGCTGCCCAAATATTCTTGGATGTGTGGTCTTCCTCTAGAGCTGGCTTAACCAGGGACACTCTTTAAGAAATAATAGTCTCCTTTTCCAGAAGCTAACATCGCCAATAGCTCCATGGCTAGGGTGAGGTTTCATGTCCACCTCCCATCTTCATGCTATGATTCAGTCTGGCTTGGGTTTGTTGACAAAACCACTGTAAGTTCATATGTGCAGCTGCCCTGCTCTGTCCCTTACAGTTACCCACACAGTCCATTGCCTCTACCTTTCTTTTCCAGTCCCCTTCCAATAAGAATCCCTGAACCTTAGGGAGATAGGAGTTCGATTATCATTATTATTATTGAAATATATTAATAAGTTTCTCTTGATAGCCCAGGCTGACCTGAAAATTACTACACAGGCTCTGAGTGGCCTTGAACTCATGGCAATTCTTCTGCTTTTCCCTCCCAAATTCGAGGATCACAAGTTTGAGTCACTATAACCAACTTGGAAATTGCTTTTCTTTTTTTTTTTTTTTTTTTTGGTTTTTCGAGACAGGGTTTCTCTGTAGCTTTGGAGCCTGTCCTGAAACTCCCTTTGTAGACCAGCCTGGCCTCCCGAGTGCTGGGATTAAAGGCGTGCGCCACCACTGCCCGGCAGAAATTGCTTTTCAATTAAAATTTCTGTAATCTCTTTCGAGATTAAAACACACACACAAAAAGGCCAATAAGATGCTGGAGCCATGATGACCTTAATTTAATCCTGGATCCCACATGGTAGCAGGAGAAAACTGACTGCTGAGAGTTGTCCTCTGACATCTACACATTCACTAAAGTATGTGAGTGCCTGCAGTCACAAACATTCATACATACAAACACACAGACACACATGCTAAGTAAAGAATTTTAAATTATACAATATGTATTTTACTGAGTAAACAAAGTTACTCAGGAATTATTATTGGTAAATGTTTCATGTTTTCCCCCTTTTGGTTGTTTTTTAGTGATTTTTTTCATTTGCAACAGGAATTAAATGTTTAAATTGAAAGACCAGAAAAACAAACAAAAAAATAACATTTTCTCTACAACATTTGGAATTAAGGGAACGTTTTCCTAATTGACTGTACCATAAAAACAAGTTCTCACAACAATTAAAATCCCAGACATTCCGAACATTTTCCTTGTCCCAATGGAGAGACTAAAAGATAAGTTTGCAACTCTAAAATCTGCAGCTACAGATGCCCCTGTGGGAACATCATTATGAAAAAGGAACTTTGCTAGATTTTTGTTCAAACCACAACTTACCCCTCCAAAGTCAACTACTAAACATCCACAGTCTTCAGAGGCCTGTCACTTCTGAATTTCCTTTCTTAAATTTTACTTATCTGTTTGTTTTTTTGAGCCAGAGTCTCACCATGCTGCCCCGAGCAACCTGGAACTTGCTAAGTAACCTAGGCTTGCCTTGAACTTGGGAGATTTGCCTGCCCCAATCTCCCAAATGCTGGAATTAAAAGTGTGAGCCACAAAAGTTTTTTTTCTTTTAATCTTTATTTATTCTTATTTTATGTGCACTGGTGTTTTGACTGTACGTATATCCGTGTGAGTGTGTCAGAGCTCCTGGAATTGGAGTTACAGATGGTTGTGAGCTGCCATGTGGGGGCAGGGAATTGAACTCAGGACCTCTGGAAAAGCAGCCAATGCTATTAACTGCTGAGCCATCTCTCCAGTCCCGTCCCCCTTCTTTGGAGAGGCTCTGGGATTTTTTTTCATAGGTAGTACTGAATTAGCAATGAGACAACATTTTGAGACATCAAGAAATCCTTGGGTATATGGGTATACTAAGCTTCCTTGTACTACTGTTTGACAGGTTAATTTTTCTTTTTCTTTATTTGTTCCTGAGACAGGATTTCTCTGTATAATCCAGGATGGCCTGGAACTCACAGAGATCCACCTGTCTCTGCCTCCTGAGTGCTGAGATTAAAGGTGTGCGCCACCCCCACCGGAAGACAAGTTCATATTTTAAAAACAGACAACAAGGCTAAAGTTCAAGCATGAGACCTCAGACACAATCCCCGCTTTCAAAGAGCACATTCTTGGCAGCTGTGTCACACCTCCAACTTGGAGAGTGTGGCGACTAACGCCCGAGGTCAGTCACACAGACACCTGGTCCTACAGACATGCAAACCTAGTTTAAAGGGCTTCATTTCTTCTCTATTAGGTTTCATATTGTCAGTCTTAATCTGATGCTTGGTCACTTTTTCCTACATTTCAGTATTCCTGCTAGCCTTGTGCTGTCTGTAAACATGTTCCCCATATATTTATGGCATTAATAGTATAAGCAAGGCCCCTCTCTCTCTTTCATCTTGTGAAAAGGAGTAAGTATGCTGCCAGAATCTGGTTTTTATAAGCATCCTGCCTCTTGGCCACTGTCTTCCTTTTTCATCTCTGACCACACTTTTCTTTGAAGTTTTTAAATGAATGCAATATTTTCCTATAGCCTTTTCTGCTGTATGGACTACACATTTGCAAAACAACTCAAGTATTTTCTTAGATTTCAAAATAAAGCATGTGAGCATTGAAAATGAATAAATGAAAAGACATACTC